AAATTGTTTAATCTCCATTTCTCCATGAAATGCTTGACTACCGCCATGTTGAAGACTTTTTTTTGGCCCCCGAAAAACACTTTTTTTGCAGATTTTCTACCATTTTCGATCCGAATCCCTCGAAACATGATCGATTTTCGGTACCTGGTGCTTGGCAAACGCGGTCGCGTTAAAGCGACGCTGGCAGTCGGGGCACGTGTGGTTGGCGCCATCGTCTTGCACTTCGCTCTCCTAAACAAAGTGTCGTTTAGCGCCGTGCTCCAACGACAAGAAGAACTCTTACGCCGTCCGGAACGCCGGAAAAGACGTTGGAGGATGCTGCCATGGGTGGGTCTTCCTGCACGACGCGGGCTGGCGGCGCTCGCACGGGCAGCGGCTTCGTCGGTGGGTCCCGGGCCGAGTGCATGGTCTGACGAGGCTTGTCTTCCTCGACAAACATCGACGCTGCGTTCGTCGGCGCACTGCGGCTCTTTCGGCGCGACATTTTGGACTCGATAAATCTTAGTGCCCACCCACTAAGATACAGCGTACTACCTTGAGTAAGATGAGCGAGCTCTGGTCCACAGTCTATTCATGGGGGCGCGTGATGTTACGAGGCTGGCAGCGACGATGGTAGGTACGGTGTCGGCGGCGGGCGCCGGCTTCATTTGCCGCTGGCGCGCCAATGGCGCCGGCGTCGCACTTGGGTCGCACTGACGGCACGTGCACGACGAGTTGCGAAGACACTCGGCGGGTGGCGCTGCTGCCGCCGCCGCCTTGGGCTTGGACTCGCGCGGTATCGCTTTGCCCGTGCGAGATTTGAGCTCATACGAGAGCGCGTCGTGCTCTACACCATAGCATTAGTAGAAGCAGCACGGTGGCATAACGTACGAGGTTCTTCGGGCTCGGGCAGCGGCGCGGCCTTGGATTTCGACGTGGGCCGAGAGTAGTTTCCAGCTAGAGAGTCGAGCGAGTCGGACGAGTCGTTGGCGTGAACGCGCTGATTGTTTGGCTTGCGTAGCGTGCTGGCTTGGCGCTTGGGCGGCGAAGGCGGTGGACTCGCATCACGCTGCGCAGTGGCCTGAAACTTGGACTTGATCGGCGGTGATGGCGGCGGCTGCGTCGCATTGAACTTGGATCGAATCGGTGGTGACCCCGGCGGCGCCGACGTCGACGGCTCTTCGTGGTTGTTGTCGGCTTCGCGGCGCGGATTGACCCTACGCGAGTGCTCAGCCATGGCACAAGATGCGGCGTATAGTACTTGGGCGCAAAGGTGCAGGCCTCGTTGACGACGCCACGCTGGCGCGCATCGCGGAGCTCCTTGGCGCGCTCCTTGGCTGCGAGCTGCTTCTTGGCGTGGTCCGTCGGGTCGTACCGGATCTTGGACTCACCGCGCTGCATGTTCTGCCCGTCCGCCGAACAACTAGTGTCGTTTCGAGGATATAAAAAACCCAGTCGATCCAACCGACCACAACCGGCCTTTCTAGCTGTCTGGCCAGCCGGTTATTGCGTCGGTTATTGCACGCGAGCGTGCCACGTCAGCGCACCATGCCAAGGCCACACGTGACCACTCCAAGCCAGAAGTTGTCTGCTGCGTACGAGAGCATGTCATGTAGAGAAAAACGAGCATGTCCACCGATGCTCTTCTGGCAGTATCCGTGTTTGGTGGTAGCCACGACAACGGCGCTGCAGAAAATCATGGCAGCAAATCCACACAAGAATGCACCGCCATCAAGCTCTTCAAGAATCCATCCACCCGACGCCGACGGTCCTTGCACGCACTCGATACGTTGCTACTCGTTGACTCGCATCTTTAAATCGTAACGTAGGAGCCAGTCGCTGGACATGCAGGAACTGTTGCAAGTCCTCTTCCCGAGTGCCTATGCGCGCCTTGTGGCCGCGTTGCTGACTCGGCCACGCCTTCTTGCGGCCATTGCAAGAGACCCAACGCGATGCAACACGATCCAAGCCTGCGATCGATCACAGCTCTTGATTGATTGCGGGACTGAAACAACTTGCTGGCTGTGTGTGCAGATGCACTACACACAAGACGATCGTTGTCCGCACAACACTCGCTGTCAACAACCCTGTGCAAGTCGAGAAAGACGTCGTCTAGCAGTCAAGCTCGTGCGTTAATAGATCGTCCATCGCTCCGTTTTCAATTGGCTTCGTGTCGACCACCGCCACCAAAAGAATGTGCACCGACATCTCCAAGGCCACGCTCATCGTGCTCAACATCGCCTTTGTCGTCGTCGAGCTGGTCGACCATCTACGGCTCAGCGTCCAACGGCGACCTTCAGCCTCCTCTTCGGTGCGCTCATGCTCCTCACCGCGTTCCTGGGGCTTGTCGGCGCCATCAAGCGCCAGAAATGCCTCCTCTACACCTACGCGTTCTTCGTATTTGTCGCGCTAGTGGTCTTCGTCCTCATCATGATCACGGGATTTGCCGGCACGTCGACTGTAAACAAGTGGGACGACGCGACGTTCCCGGCCGACGACGCCGAGACGTCGGTCGCCGAGGCCTTTGATTCGACCTTCTGCCGCGTCATGGTCGACCACTACTGCGCCTCTGGCAGCCTCGGTGATGCCATTGCCTCGACCTTCAACCTCAACGCGAACGACCAGAAAAGCTCCAGAAACCGTTCCAAACGTCCAACAACATTGTTTGAATCAAAGGTTACGCGAGACGATTTACTTGTTGGCCTTCTTCTCGTGGATCCACCGGCGAATCTGGTGCAACTCGAGCTTGCGCGCCTTGACGACCGAGACCGGGTCCAATGGATGACTAAACATGAGGTCGAGGTGGTGCGCGCCGCCGTCAATCTCGACAGCGATGAGCGAGTCGCTCAGCGACGCCAAGACGCCGTAGCCCGACCACGGATCGTAATTGCCGTTCGAAAACACAATGTTGGACGAGTACTTGAGGCCGTCGACGCCGCCAAAAACCGTGTTGGCCCAGCGCGGGCGCAGCTCGACGCCCCAGTTCTCGAGGCACTGCGCCGCGTCCCGCGTCTCGTTGTGGAAGCTCACGGGGAAGAAATCATCGACGCCGTTCTGGTCAAACGGCATGTACATCTCTGAGCACCAGAGGTACGACCAGAAATTCTCGGTCTGGACCGGCGCCGTCGCGTTCCAGTCGTAGCAGCGCAAGGCGCCCGTCGAGTTGAAGAGGACGCCGGCCGCGTCCTTCATCCCCGTAAGGAGACGGCTCGTATCGTTGGCAAAGTCGGGCGCCAAGTGCTCGCACGCCGCACGGTACGGGTACCCCGGCAGGTTCTCGGCAATGTACGACGACGGGTACGGGTAGTTGCCCATCGCGAGGTCGCCAAAGACACCCGTAAACAAGTCGACAAGCGACGTGGCCTCGGCTTCGGTCGTCGGCGCGTAGCAAAGCTGGAGCGCGCTCTTGAGGCTCTGGCGACCCTCGGGCGTCGTGGCGGCAGCCCGCACCGCCGCCGACGCTTCACGGATGTTATGCACGCAGTTGGCCGACGAGCCGGCCGCGGGTGTTGCGCCAAAGGTCACGATGCGGCTGAACGCTTCGTTGTCGATCGGCGGCGACTCGCCTTCAAACGCCAGGAGCGGCGCCGAGGCCGCGATCGCGCCGTCGACGAGGTACGGGTACTTTTGGCGGAACCAGGCCGCGAGCATGCCGCCGTACGAGCCGCCAAACGTGATGAGCGCGCTGTCCCGCGAGACGTTGTACGACTCCTTGATGTGCTCGACAAGCACCGCGTAGTCGCCGAGGGCTTGCTCGACCGAGAGGAAACGCATGTTCTCCTTGGAGAACGTGCCGTTGAACGGGATCGACTGGCCAAAGTACCGGTGCTCGGCAAAGACGAGCATCGCGCCAAAGTCGGCTGCATTCTCCCACATCAAGCCCGTGTGCGTCAAGTACATCTCGACGTCGCCTTCGTTGCCCGTGTAGAAGAAGATGGGACCGCTGCCCGGCGTCCAGTGCTCGGCGCACACAAAGTAGCGCTGCTGGTACGTGCCATGCGACGCCGTAAAATGGTCGAGCGTCTGCTCCAAGAACGAGACGTTGCAGCGGTCCCGGAGGTCGCCCATGAACGACTCGACCTTACTCGACGAGCTCAGCGACAGCGTGGGGATGTTGGCGTTTTGGGGCACCTGCGGCGGCGCCGACGACGCGAGGAGCGCGACCGACACGAGCGAGGCGACAGCGAGGCCAAGCGCCAGCGGCTTGGCGTACGAGGCCGAAGACGGCGAGGACGGCACGTGCAACAGCGGCGCAGACTCCCTCATGCGGCTTGGAAAGGGGATGCGCAAGTGGCTGCCTTCCCGACTGCCGGTCAGATGACCTTTGCGCTGATTGGCTTCCAACAGCCAATCCGAATCAAGTGCAATCTCAAAGCTTGAAGCATCCAGCTGCACTTCGTGCCCTTTCTTGCCCGCACGCCACTGGAGCGTCCGGCACGTCATGCTCGCGCACCTTGTTGTAAGCGCTGGTGCTGCGGCGGTGAGCTGGTCGACCGCATGGGCAAACAGCCCGTCGCGCTGGAATCTCAACCTATCTCGACAGCGATCGCAACCCATTGACCGAGGCAATTAATACGTGGGGTTGCGATGGTGGTTCCGAGGTCGCAAATCAAATGCAACCGTCTGTTCGTCTCTGTGGCGCTCTTATCATGACGCCATTCAGGATCATTAAATGACCACCAAGCCAGCGCCCACCAGAGCTCCGAGCGCCCACCCAGTGAATTCATCTCCATCGCGTTGGGCGGTTCCTTCGAATCCCATATCAAAGCAAAGCATACGAGTACTCTCGTGGCTAATCTGAGCACATAGCTCGCGTTTCGTACTACACAGTTCTGTAGCTCTAGGACGCTGCGGCAGCGATGTTGCCCGTGCACTCTACTTGTGCGCGCACACACAGCACTCTTAGGGTGCGTTCTATCCGTAGACTCGTGTCTTGGCCGGTGGGCTGTCAATGGATCTGTTCCGAAATCAAACTACCGGTAACAAGGAAGACCACGCCCACGACGCTGTCCACACTAGCTGGCTGCATAAACGGACGACGTCGCGTCGCGAGCATCTTCCGTCCGCAGGAGAATGCACGTTTCCAACAACTATTGAACACAAGCTCACGAGCTGGTTAATATCGCGACGCATGATTGGCAGACCTTCTCTTCATCGAGAAACCTCTTCATCGGTGGTGGGTACATGTCCGGATACGACCCAAGATCGTCCGCAAAAAAACAGACCACCAATCACAACCCGCGCAGTTGTGTTCCAAAATTTGCTCGCTCAAATACGGTAGCTGCAGTTTCTCATTTCGCGCCTACCACCGAGCAGCAGCATGTGTACCGACGTCTCCAAGGTCACGCTCATCGTGCTCAACATCGCCTTCATCATCGCCGGCGCGCTGCTCATCTGGGTCGGCGCGTCGACGGACGAGGGCTGGTCGAAAATCTTCGAGGCGGCGTCCAACGGCTCGTCGGCGGCGGCGTTCTACCTCATCCTCGCCTTTGGCGTGCTCGTGCTCCTCATCGCGTTCATGGGCCTCATGGGCGCGCTCAAGCGCCAGAAATGCCTCCTCTACACGTACAACTTTTTCGTTTTCGTCGCGATCGTGGTTTTCATCATCATTATGATCACGGGCTTTGCCGGCGCGTCGACTGCCAGCAAGTGGAGCGACGCCAAGTTCCCGGCCGAGGACGCCGAAGAGTCGGTCGCGAAGGCCTTTGACTTGGCGTACTGCGGCGTCATGCTGGAGCACTACTGCTCGGATGGCAGCCTCGGCGACGCCATTGCCCTCTTCTCGCCGTCGGCGTCATCGTCGCTCACGCCCATCATCAAGGCGCTCAAACTCGACGCAAACGACCAGGTGGGCTTCTCGGGTCTCTGTAAGAACCTCAACTCGACGGCGCCGGGCACACTCGTCGTGCAAAACGTCGAGACGTTCAAGACGATCTGCGAGGAATGCAAGAAAACCGAGGACATTGACTTTAGCGAACTCTACAAATGGGGCCAGGAGAACTGCCCGCTCACGGTGGCGACGGCGTCGTGGTGCGTCAACTATTTAGGATCCAACAAGTACGACAACGCGACCGACATCGTATACCCCGAGTGCCGCCCGGCCGCCCTCAGCCTCTTCAAGTCGTTCGCCACCAAGCTTGCGATCGGTGGGCTCATCTTTGCGGTTGCAGCGCTCGTTGTGTTCATCATGGCCTGCGTCGTCGCGCGCTCGGGCGGCAAGGGCGGCTCCATGGCCTAGGTCAGACTCGGTTCATTCGTCATATTGCATAATATAAAGATAACTCTTCCTTGTATAGTGTTGCATGTCCATCTCCATCGATGCTCCGGTTTCATGGATACACATATGTCATGGGCGTCGCCTTCCACCATCACGCGCCACGGCTTCCATCCTGCTTGGTCCACCACGCCCGCAAAGCCGCCCTTGCGACATGGTCATCATAAAATACTTCGTTTTCATTGGCCAGATGACTTTGAACCAATCAACGCCCTTCCTACACCTGTATAAACGCATACCTGATCTATTCAAAGATAGAGGCATCGAATTTGCAAACAGCATGACCTTGTGGGTAGGCGCGTGGATGCTCTTCCCCATGGACCTAGGCGATGAACTTACGCGTTGGCATGGAGATGCTTCATGTGCTCTGCCTGGCGCTCTTGATGCTTCTGGAAGTCGTCTTGCGCCGCTGCTCGAGGTCGTCGCCATCGACTAGCGACCCGGTCGGCAGCCTCTTCCCGCTCCTGCTACCGAGCCCACGAAATACGCGACCAAGGATGACGCCTATGTTGAGCACGCTGCAGCCGCGTGAGCCGCTGGTGCGAATCGTGCGGCGCGTCTTGTGGCAGACGCTCGAGCGACTGAGCGTGCGGCACGTCGCTGGCATCGACGACGTCCTTCGCGACCTCACGGCTCTGCACTTTCGCCTCGCGGGCGATCCGACGCATCTGGCAGCGTCCTTGCCGACGCTCCGCCATCTCCAAGCCCGTGCTGCATCTGCAATTCTTCTCCAAGAATCCTCCGAGATGACGGCGCTCTGCACGGTACTTGAGGCGCTCGCGGCGCCACCTCTCAGTGGACGATGTCACCTTCAGCGGCGCGCCGTCTCCACCTTCCCGACGGCCGCATGAGGCTCCCGTCGACTGCGACGTCTGAGAAGGACCGGGTTTGATCCCGTGTCATGCACGCTGCGATCTCAAGATCATACGACTCGAACGTGCAAGCAATATATGAGGAATTTAAGGGGCAGCCGAAAGCGTGTTCTCGGCCTCGTCGAGCTCGAGGCACGCGGTCAAGAAGGTCGACGGGCGGCGGTACACGGGCGCGATGAAGACGGGCTTGGCCTGCTTCTTCTGCTTTTCGTGGCGCGCAATCTTGTTGAAGAGTGGGTTTTGCTTGGGGATGGCAATCCGGGGCGCAAACTCGCCCGTGCCCATGGTGTCGTACCGATCCAGAAGCGCCTTGGGGTACTCGTTCGGGAGCGACGGCGCGAGGTCTGCCGTGCCGGCCGAGAAGGACGCGACGACCGGGTGGTAGTGCTGCGCCAGCAGCGTCAACTCCCAGCAAGCGGCCGCAAAGGGGTTGCTAAAGTCCGGGTCGTTGACGTCGGCGCGGTACACACCGGACGCGACGCGGTCCTGATCATTCTCGAGGAGCTGGTGCAGCTTGTTGTAGCGATGGAAGAGGCTGCGAATGAGCGCCGAGACCGCGAGGATCTGGTGCGGCGGGAGGTACGTCGAGACGAGCGCAAGGCGCTTCACAAAAGCCGCGACGCGGTCGACCATGATTTCCTTCCTCCGGACAAAGACGGCCTCGACGCACTGGAGCGCGGTCGGGAACGACGCCACGTTCTCGCCCTCGGCAAAGCGCAGCAGAAGCTTGTAGAGCACGTCGACAAACTCCTTGTCGTCGACCTTGAGCTCCGCGCCGGGGCCCTGGAGCGTCTTGATACCGGTGAGGACGGCGTGGAACGCCGACTGGAGCGGCAAAATGTCTTCGCGCAAAAGCGTCTTGAGCACCTTCATGAGGTCAATCATGATCTCGAGGTTGATTAAGTAGGCGTATTTGGTCAAGCCCTAATTGTGATTCAGTGAAAATGCAGAAAAAGAGAGGATGGATATATGGGTACCTCAAGCACCGCGGGCATGGCCGGCGAGTACGTCGAGTTTTTGAGAATGCGAAAGTAAATCAGCACGAGTTCGTGCAGAATGTCCGCCTAGAAGCATGCGTGGATAAGACATCGAAACTCGCTTACTGGATGCCGCCGTACCTGCGTCTTGTCGCGCTCCGACTTGTCGACGACGGCCTCGGCCTCCTTCAACCCCGTCACAATCGTGTCGCCCTAGTGGATAGCTATCCATGAGCGTTGTGTGCGAGGTTGCATCATGCAGCGCACGTCTTGTTGGAGGCGACGGCGCTTCTTCCGGCTCGACTTGGCGACCTTGCGCGCAATCTCACCGGCTTCCATGGTCACGTCGAGCGGCATGGCGAGGAGCGTGCGGATCATGCGCTCCGTGACGCTAGCGTGTCATTGAGACTCTCATGTGCAGAAAAAGAGGTGCTCGTACCGGTGGTGACGCTTCTTGACGTAGTTGGACATTTGACGCACAATCTCAAGCGGCGCAACGCCCGTCTTGTCAGCCTACGATGATGACGGGGTCGTAAGGCCGTCAATAATGCGATCATTGCGAGGGTACCTTGAAAACGACTTCAAACGCCTCGCAGGTCGGGCGCTGGATCGTCATGAACGGCGAGTCGGCGAACGGCACCATGGCCACGATGAGGTTGAGGTTGAAGTTGAAGGCATATTTGACTTTGAGAAGCTCGGCCATGCACTTGACTGCGGTCTCGGCCAGCTCAAACGCAACCACCTGCGTCGATGTGCGCGACGCCTGGTTCGGGTTGAGCTTCTGGAGACGGTTGGTGGCCGTTGCCGCGAGAAACTTGAGGAATTTTTGGTACATGTTGAGCATCGAGGCTTCAAACTCCTTCATTTCCTTGACCTTCTTCTTTTGCGGCCCGTCCGAGTCGCCTTGGAGGCGGATGCGGTAATCCGGCAGAATGTCGAGAAGGACCGAGAGCTCCGAGAGCATCGCGAGCTTGCACAGCGTCAAGTCCGTGTCTTCGCACATGGCGTGGAGCTGCTGAAACTTGCTAAAGCTGTCGGGGTGGTCCTTGGACTTTTTCAGACCGTCTTCGGGCGACTCGAGAATGGCTTCGCAGAGCACCGCCATCTCTTCCTTCTTGGACGCGAGCCGGCGGATCTGGAGCGCCTTGAGCTCTTCGGGCGAAATCGACTTGGTCGGCTTCGTCTCGGGCTCGGCCACGTCCGTGATCTCTTCACACTCGAGGTCCGAGACGTCGCTGCCGAGGTCGTCGTCGCCGTCGTCGGCCTCCTCGTCCTCGTCATCTTCCGCTTCATCCTCCTCCGCAGCGGCGGCTTCCTCGGCCGCGCGCTCCTTGGCGTCGTGCGCCTCTTGCACAATGTCTTGCATGAGCTGGTTGGGCTTGACCACGCCGTCAATCGACTTGACGGGCAGCTTGGTCGAGATGTCGACTGGCGCCTTCTTCTCGACGATCGACATGGCGCGCGGTGCGGCCTCAATCTCTTCGAGCGTCTTGGCCGCGGCCGGCATCGGCTTTTGCTTTTGCTTCTTCGTCGTCGACTTTCTACAATGGGCTGCATGAGACGTCGGCGCTCCAAGCTCCGATTCGACATACTCGAGGGCGGCGGTGTCCATCGAGTTGAGGAACGACGAGTACTGGCCGTGCGCCTAGGTCGAAGCATCAGTATGGCATGTAGCAGCGGATTGCGGCGCACCTCGAAGAACTCGATGTCTTCGTCGTCAATCTCGACGTCCTCCTCGACGGGCGCGGCCTCGGGCGCCGCCTTCTTCTTCGCGCCGCCCTTCTTGCCCTTCTTGGCCGCGGGCTTGGCGTCCTTCTTGGCCTTCTTCTTGAGCCCCGGGTCCTTGTTGTTGGTCGGCGCCTTGCGCTTGGTCGCCGACGACTTGGCCGCCCCCTTCTTGTTGTTGCCCATGGTCTCAAACTGCGCTTCAAGCCATATACCCCAGCGCCCAACAGCCAATCCCTACTCCATACGCATATGATTGGCCAAAAAGAAGCGTAATAGCCAATCACATTACAGAAGGATGCAATCTTTTTTTGGCGCTGCCACGTCATGTTGAAACGGGTGTGGCTTGATACCACCGTGCAACGCAGACTCGAAGACAACGAGCCTGGTCGCGTCCCACAAGGTGCCAGTGGCGGCTCCTTGGGGATCGGGAAACGACGCAGTCGAAGTTGTCTTGACGTAATGGTCTCTTGTACGAGCACTAGCGTCGTCGAAGCAACGACTTGGCCACCAGTGATTTGCTTGCTCGTTTGAAGTCTGCTTGAGCGTTTGTCGTCGAGGTCTCAACTTTATGTCAGCGCAACACACGTCACCAAGAGCCCGTTCGAAGCAGAATGCTGTGCTGGGCGATCGCTGGCGCCACCAGGAAGGACGCCAATTTGGCTGAAAAGTGGAACACGATTCTTTGGGTCTACTATCTATGAGCTGGTCTATGAGCACCGTGACAAAGTGCACGGGTATCCAAACGTCGTTTCAAGCAATGAATGGGCGGGCTGGTTGTTGCGGTTGCGCTGGCAGTGCGTTAGTCAGCATTCTTGACAATTGACTTGTGTTTCGCTTCAGCACCTAGAATATCGCTCAGCATTGGTGTAACACTACCTCTCAATACCAATGACAGCTACCTATCGACTTGATTAAGGACTAAAACAATCAAATTGTGTTGTTAGAAGCTTGCTACTAGCTTACGGCAGCATGTAGACGACTGGTTTTTGCCCGCAAAGGGGAGAAACGTCGACTGGATGCGCGGGTCCTTGGCCTTGAGGTACGCGACAAACTCCTCGTAAGTCGCGACCTTGCCATTGTTGCACTCGCGGTTTGGGAAGAGCCGGCTCATGACGCAGCACGGCACGACGGCAAACGGCTTGTTGAGGCGCAGCGCCATGTCGACGATCGGTTCGGTCGCTTCGTCCGGGTGCATGCCGACGAGGGCAGCACTCTCACGAAACAGTGCCGCGTGCGTGACGACCAGCGCGTCATTGAGCTCGGCGAGGATCTACTCTCACTGTCAAGATCCAAAACATGCGCGATCGGACGATATACATGAGGCCACTTTGCTTTCTGATGCGCTGCCATGTACTTGAGGTGCGCCTTGCGCTGCTTGACGACCCGCTACGCCCATACTGTCAGCATGAAGTCAAGGCAACCATATTCGCCGGTACCGGGTCGATGAGCGTCGCCGGAAGATCGCGCTTGCAAACGAGCTCGAATGCGATATCGCCTTTGCCGCCGGCCACGTCGAGCACGCCGGAGCCGGCGCCAAGGGTGGACGCGCCAAACGTTGCGACGAGCCACTCGGTGAAGAGCGCCGCGCGGTGGCTCTTGAGCGCTTTCGAGTGCGGGTCGTTCGGGTCCCCGTGCACCATGGCCAGAGTCCGTTTTTGCGTCGCACGCTTCTCGAGCCACTCGGCGCGAAGCTCAGCGTACTTGTCACTAGGTCTACGTTCGTATTGGCGACTGCGTGACGTGGCAGCAACGATTACCCGTGGTAGAAGTGACAGGTGGCACCGTGCGCGCAGGTTGCATTGCTGAAGTGGAACTTGCACGCATTCTGGCCGTCGAGCTGGATCATGTTGTCGTAGCTCTGCTTGGTCGCGAGCGGCGCCGCAACAACGTGGCTGCTCGCACCATACTCAAAGGGCGCGCCTAGACAGAAGTTAGCATTTGAAAGTTGGTGACACGGTAAAGTACCTGGATGCAGGACGTCCCAGCTCGCCACCACAGAGTAGCTTTGAATCGCGACGAGAATACGGTCGCCGTTCGACGCCTCGCGGCGCGCCTCGCCCGTCACTTGGATTACGTCGCCAATATGCAGATCCCAGTTGAGCAGCACGATCGCCTCTTTCGTCCACGGCGCCTCGCCCGAGTGTGCCATCATCTGCACGAGTTCTGCGCATCGCATGAGCTCGATGGCGCGCGGTGCAGTGGAGTAGTACCTTTGTCGGCGAGCTCAATGTCCCCAAAGAGGAGTCCTTTCCTAGTCGGCCATCGAGTGAGAGGTCGACCCATCCTAGAAGGATACAAGAGGCGTACGAGACTGCGCGCTTGCGGATAAGCTGACCTTGCAGGAGGGCGCCCGGCGCGATCGCAGCGGCGCCCATCGCCGCCCGAAGACCCTCGCCCGTCGTGATAGCCATTCCCAACTGCCCATCGTCCGCCGACCAATCAACGAGCAGCGGCTGGGACATCCAGTGCCATGCGTTCCGAGCGTGCCACGTCATTTTGCACCGGCCACGTACTCTCTCGAACGACTCGCTGCGAATTTAGTACGATTGAGGTTGAGTCGTAGCAGCGACGAGAGTTTGCGGCAACAGAGTAGTACCTCGATAGACTCAAACTCAAAAGCCAACAGCGGCAAGACGCACACACATTTTCTCAATGTATACACAGGCCCGATTAGAAATTTTCATCAAAATCGTCGTCTTGCGCCGCGGCAGGTTTCGAGACAGAGAGCCTTGCGGACGGCTGCTTGCTAAAGACAGACTTGGGAGCTGTCGATCGACTGGCCAACGAGGGTGCCATCGATGCAATCTCAATGTCATCGTCATCCACTTCAAAATCCGAGTAGTCGCGCAAGCTGGCGCCTCGAAGCACCTACAACGCTGCAAAGTCGTGCAAACACGCGAGATCTCATGTACCCGCTGGCCGAGACTTGCGCCTTTGATGGGGGACGCCTTGGCGCGGCCAAAGACGGGGTCTCGGCCCGACGAGGTCTGTGAGCTTTGTCGCATGAAGGCGAGGCCGAGCACCGCTGGGGCTTCTACGACAGGTGCTGCGGTCGGCGTCGACTTGAAGGCGTCCGTCGAAGGCTCGGTAGAAAGCGCTTCGTTCGCCTTTGTATCGGTCTTCGCCTCAGTTGGCTTTGCATGTGGCTCGGGACAAAGGGAGAGTAGCAGTTCCCGCAACTAGCCGTATCTCTGTATCCCATAATGATGCTTGCATGACCAAACCTTGCGGGCTGTCCGGTCGTCCTTGGGTAGCTGCGTCATGAACGCTGTCGAGAAGATTTGAGCAGCGTCGAGCGGTGGGAGTACGCGCTCTGTCACGAGGAGGCTCAAGACCGCGTTGAAGAGCCGCCAATAGTCTACACAGAAGAGTTCGGGTGTCGTACTCGACCATTAAATCACCTTTTTCCTTGTTGCGGTTGGGCTGGTACGCCTTGGTGAGTCGTTGAAGCGTCATTTTGCCCACCATAAGGTCTTCGGTAAAGAGATCTATCCCGACGACTGGTGATAAAACCTCCATAAGACGCGAACGTACATGGACCAACATCCTGGAGTGCTTCGAGGAGGAGCGCATAACACACGTCGGCCCCAAAAATGCTAATCTTGCGCCCGGTCGTCGCCATTCTACAAAGTCGCGCGACTCAGTTGCCTAGAATGCGTAGCCCAAGACCAACTTGACGAGATCGAGCTTGGACTGGAGGCCAATCGCATCGGGACTTGACGTAAAGTGGGTCTCGCCGCTTCGGGCACTGGTCTCGAGCCGATCCAGCAACTGTGTAAGGAGCGAGAGCCGCTCCGCATCGCTCAGCTTGGCCGTCGCCGTGCCCATTTGCTTGGGCGGCGACGGCGCCTCAAACTCAAACTCATCGACGCTTTCATCCTCGGCAGAAGGAAATCCCGATGTTGGTACAGGCTCGGGCGAGTCGGCCGCTGGAAAGGCTGACGTCCGTGCTGGTACGGGTGACTCCGCGGCTGGAAACGCTGATGTTCGCGCTGGCACGGGCGACTCGATGGGTGGCTCGGCCATGGTAGTTTCGTCGTCGAGCTCGAGACGTAGCGGTGAGCGTTGCGTCGGCTTGGCGCTCGTTTCATGCACAGGTGATGGTTCTACCACATGGTGTGTGCATGCTATTGAGCAATGTCCTACCGCTCGGACGCTCGACGGTGGCGGTTGGCACTGCATCCGGCGCCGTCTCGATGACTTGCGTGGACTTGGGTGGTGTTGTCGCGCCTTCCACAATGTCGCTGGACACACTATTGTGTGTTGGTTTCTCAACAGTTAGCGGTGGGCTCGGGGCTTGCTCGGCACTTGGTAGCGTCGAAGAAACCTCGTCATTGAGAGCCACGGCAGCAGGTCGAGTGCTGCTAGTGTTTCGACAATGTCTGTCGCAGACAGCGAGACCACGTCCATGACGGGGCTGGAGGCGCGCGGTGTCGGGGACGACTGTCGATGGCTCGTGACGACAGGCGCGTCGCCAAGGTCCAGCGACTCGAGAGCGGCGTCCGAAAAGGCACTTAAGCGAGACTGCGGCGAGTGCTGCGGCGACGGCGTCTTGGGCTTTTTGATTTGATCCACAGCGCAGAGCACCGTCGCAAGTGTTGCATCAGGGATCTCGGTGGCAACGAGCGGCGGGGGCGTCACCGATGCCGGACTTGCTGTCTTCGGACGCGGTTCCTCGTCTTCTGTCGGTAGTGGCATCGTGATGGTCAGTGGTGCGGACGTCGTCGGCGCTTCCTCATCCGGCAACGGGACGATCGATTCCGTCGGCAAAGGCACAGCATCAACGGCAGCATCGGCGATCGGAGGTGTCCATGCCACTGGGTCCACTGCTGTCGATGCGGACGGCTCAGCGCGCACGGGAGCTTCATGAGGCGCGGGCTCCCTGGGCGCTCTTACATCTACTATAGCCATCGCCGGAACGGTAGGCGCTGGACTCGGTGGTTTGACCAACGGCGTCTCGGAGGGCACAAGCACGTGTGTGGCTGGAACGGCCATGTGTTCGCTTGGCAACGCTATCGCAGGCGCCATGCGATAAAAGTCGTTTAAAATCGGATCGTCCGAGTCACTTGGCGCGGCCGACTCGTCGATGAGGCGGGACATGCGCTCGAGAAACGGAGCAGCTTCATTTGGATCGGGTGCCACCATGGCGTTCTGCAATGGCGGAGAATGTACCACAAATCGCTCGACCAGCGTTGGTCGAGCCGTGACGGGATCTGAGAAAACCGGCGTCCTAGTGCGCTAGCGTAAGCCTGGTGGAAATCGCCTGCGTGATGCACCTCGCCAACGACGGCCGCGGTACCTCGACAGGCCTACAAGCCATCGACACGATGACAATATACATACTGTCATCGTGCTGCGAGTATCGTACGCTGGTGGCCGAATCGAGGCAAAGAGATCCGGCTCCGGTAGCACTGGTAGCGGCGCCTTGGCAGCCGTATACTTGGTCGCGAGTTGTTCTACGAGGGTGTGAGCAAGTGGAGACGGCCCGCGTGTACCGTAATCCGCTGCTTGCGGGGACAGGAGCGTTCTAAAATGGTCCTCTTCCATGCGCCGGCGCTCGTCCTCGGCTCTCTCGCGGATCGCTTGCTCGAGGTCCATGGCCTCCTTGAGCTTTTGCTGCCGATACAACTGCCGCTCATACGGCTTTTGCTGCCGATACAACTGCCGCTCATACGTCTCGTTGCGCTCGACGCTCGTCGCCAGGTTGATTTCGTGGACCTATTCAAATACCATCAACTTGATATTGCATTCGAGTCGACGTACGGTCTGACGCAGGAGCGCTTCGAGTCCTTGCTCCTTTTCAAAGCTCTAGTACACGGCAAGAACATGCAGCCATGCACAATGAGAGAGATGATAATGGACCTGCTGGGCGACGAGCCGTCGGTACTCGATCTCGTGCTTCTCCTGCTCGAGCTGGCGCAAACGCTGCATTTTGAGGCGCTGCAGCTCCTCTTGCCACGCGGGGTAGACCTCGGCGACCGTGTCGACGAACGCGAGCTTGGCCTTCTCGAGCCCGATCGCAGCCGGCGTCGGGCGACTCTCGGCGACCGACCGCTGGTACTCGCGGAGGCTCTCGAGAAACTCGTGGTTGCGCTTCTTCGCGATCACCAAGTGCTGCTGGATCTGGCGCTGCTTGCGCTTCAGCATGTCTGTGTACGCAGCGCTACACTCGGCCATCGTCGCGTCGCGCATCTGCTGCTTCTTCTCGAGGGCAATGCGGCGCGCGACCCTAGCGCATCATGAGATTCCGTCGACCAAGCTACGGCGCTTGCATGTTGCGTTGGCGCGTCTTGAGCTCGACGAGGTGCGCCTCTAGATCCGGGTGCATCGTCGCCGCCGATCGTGCAAGATCTGCTCGAGCCGGCTACGATCCAAGCCGGTTATGCGATCCATTCGGCTCGAGCGATAGCCGGTTAAGAACGGCAATGCGACAAAGCCGGTTAGCAAGGGTGATACCGGCGACGTCAACGCACTGGCTTGAGGCCAACTACCGCGAACGTACGTCGTCTGCATGTGTGATTCGGAGCTCGAGGTCATTGCGTTGCGAGAGCTGGCGACAGCTTGGCATACCTTGGCTCTCGTACTTTACCGTTGAAGCAACCGTTGGTCTCTGAGTCCTGGCACGCGAGCTTGGCACGTCTACAGTATGTTCTGAGTCAAACCATTTCCAGATTGCCGCGCTGCAACGCAGAAAATGATATGCAGCTTCCAAAACGCAGCGAATTGTAGCGTAGGCGCGTTTGACGCTTCGTAGCGACCGCCGTGCGTGAGGATGGGATGGCCGCCGCCTCCTTGAAGTCGACGGCACGGTTGAAGGCAATTCAACTCGGGGACTCAACTCGGAGAAGCTAGGACGCGTAGGGATGTTGTATCAAAGGAGATCACACCAATCAAACGAATGACTGTATCGCGCTGTACGGTAAAAGCGGCGCGGGTGCCACCCAGTCACAAATGCAAAGGCTTGGCGTCGCAGCTGGATTACGTACGCGAATAATATTGGACGTGCAAAGAAGTACTCGTCACGAAGAAGGCCATGCCTGGCGTCATCTTGTACGCGGGCGACCCGATCGTGTCCCCGGCACTGCCACCGTCGCGCCGACGACCTCACGCCGCGTCGTCGTCGGGTGCATCGTCGTCGGCGACCTCGAGCGGCCGACGGCGCCCGCCGCCGCCGGAAACCGCCGACGTCCGAACCAACTTTACCACGCCCAAGCAGCCCCGCCCGTCCAACCTCACTCGCCCTTCCAACCTTTCTCGGCCATCGACGCTCTCACGACCATCGACGCTCACGCCAACGCCTCATAGCAACGACGAAGACGATGCGATATTGGGCCACCTGGACGACGCCAACGACTACCCGCTGCTGGAAGAAGTGCCCGAGAAGGAGCACCACGACACACGCAACTACGACCCTCGGTCGCACCGGACGTTTGTGAGCACGCTCTCGGTCATCATTGGCGCGCTCGTCGGTGCCGGCGCCGGCGTCGGTCTCTCGCAGGTGCACATGTCTCGCGACAGCCTCCAATGGCTCGCGCTGCCCGGCGACCTCTTTGTGCGCGCACTGCGCTGCCTCGTCGTGCCCATGGTCTTTTGCACCATGACCGTCTCGATCGCCGAAGTCGTCGTCTTGAAAAAGACCTCGGTGCTCACGTGGCGTACGGCGGGCACGTACTTTCTCTCGTCGTTTCTCTCAACGGTCCAAGGCCTCGTCGTCGCGATCGTGTACCGTCGCATGTTTGCCTCGAGCTCCGTTGCGAGCGCGCCAGCATCCCCACACCTTGTCTTCGCTCTACGGTGCCACAACGGGCGGTACCTAACCGAGTCGGATCCTAGTACTAATGGCTCGTCGTCGCTCGCGTGCCTCGGAGGCAGTGCCAACGAGTCGGCGGCGCAGTTCCAAGTCGCCGACGTCCATAGCCTCCTCACGCTCAACGCGACGACGCTGAGCGACCTCACGCTCACGCAGCAAGTGATTGGAATCATCAACACGTCCGTGCCCGACAACATCTTTAGTGCACTCGCTGACGGCGCGCTCCTCTCGATCATCATGTTCGCCTTACCGCTCGGATATGCAGTCGCCAAGTCGCACGGTGGCCACATGCGCTCGAATGCGCTTTTGAATGCGCTGCGCCAAACGCGCAACGCGCTCCTGATTCTTGTCAACGCCGTCTTGTACTTGACGCCAATCGCGGTCGTCTTTCTCATTAGCAGCGCGATCGTCATGTACGGCAACGCGTCGACGATCATGGCCCAAGGCGGGTACCTCCTGCTTGCGTTCAGCACAAGCGTCCTCTTCCACGTGCTCGTGACGATGCCCGCCGTCGTCTTCTTGTGTACGCGCACCAACCCGTACAACTACATGCGCCAGCTCTTTCCGGCCTACGTCTTTGCCTTTGGTTGCTCGTCGTCGATGGCGGCGCTGCCTGTGGCCGTCACGGTCATCCATCAGACGCGCCAAGTGTCGCGGTCGCTCGCGCAGCTCATCATGTGTCTTGGCACGCCGGTGAACCTCAACGCGGGTGGCCTCTACTACCCCGTCCTCGTCGTCTTTATGGCCAACGTTGCTGGCATCAATGGGCTCCTCGGGCCGCCCCAAATGACCGTCCTCTTCTTTGTGACGCTGCTCGGGTGCATGGGTACGGCGCCCGTGCCCAACTCGGGCCTCGCGATGCTCATGACGATCTGGAAAACAGTGCTGCCCCACCAAGCGCTGCCGTCGGCGTTCGTGTACGTCGTCGCCATCGACTTTCTCCTCGACCGCATTTGCACCATGACCAACATCAACGGCAACATGATGGTCACGCGTATCCTCGCCGCGCACTTTGACGACGGCTTCGAGTCGTGGGGCCACGATCAGACGGCCACAATCCAAGAGGAAGCAAGTCGCGCCCACGATGTCTAGTCGCATTTTTGGGTTACGAGCTAGGTAGATCGTTGGTTAGTAGAATCAACACATATTTATGATTGTCACGCGCTCCGAACCGTTGATATGGTGTGAAACAGTTGGCAGTTACATGTCCACAAGACAGGCGACAGCAGCTTCCGGTCGCAAATGCTCAAGTGCGATCATGCGATGGGGCAGAGCGACGGCGCTCGAACGCTCTGCGCCACTCAAGGCACAAGGTCATTAAAGGTGGGGCGTGGTGATCATCCACCCAAAGCCTGCCATGATGTGGTCACGTCGTGGGTCGTGCACCGCGAGCGGTCGGTGCGGTACCCGGATGGCCGAGGACCGAGCCATGTCAACCGGTTCGATGTCCGTGACGTCTCCCGGCACGTCACACCCAGCCGGTGGCGGCACGAAAGAAAGATCGCGGCGACGATGCGCATCTTGCGCGTTGCTGCAACACGCAGCAACCGTGCTCGTAAGTAATCCGCCCCTTTCTTCGTGAGCGCCAAAGGCAAGCGCAAGGACGGTGGTACATTGTAGCGGCGCTTCTGCGTCGTCATGTTCGAAAGCCGTGGTCCTACTCTGGCCCTAGGCGCATCATCCACCAAGTGCAAGCCCGCGTGTCCGGTGCCAACGTAGCGAATTCACCTCTCTCTTCCAGCTCTCTCTTCCACTTCTACGGTCCTGTAGGTATACTGTAGGACTAAAATGAGCCAACGAACGATGGGTCGACGATGATCTTGTCTCTACGTTGCCGGGGATTACAAATTGAAGCGGTTTGCTATGGCACACCGACCCCTGCGTGCAGTTCGCCCCGTCTTGTTCGGAACCAAAGCAGCCGTCGCCTCGTACCGGTACGTTGAGGTCTCGAGCATGACACATTGTGGACACGGGTCATGTCAAATTGTTGTTCTTTTATAAGTTAACATAGTAGATTGTCCACACACACATACCGAACGACGGCGCAAAGTACTACATTTGAATCAATGTTCGTCGCCCGTCTCGTTGGGCTCGTCGTAGTGGGCGGCAAGGATCCGCGTTGCAATCATGTTGCCATAGACGTTGGTCGTTGTGCACATGCGATCGACGAGAAAGTCGACGGCGACGACGGTCGTGAACGCTTGCTGCGGAAACGTGGTCGACGTTGCAGTCTTCCAGACCGTCATGAGCATGACCAGCGCCGCATTCGGAACCGGCGCCGTGCCCATCGAGCCGAGGAGCGACACGAAGAAGAGGACGACCATCTGCGTGATGCCAAACGAGCTCGAATTGCCCGACGCGCACGCGAGGTGGACGGTCATGACCGGGTAGTACAGGCCCGCGGCGTTCTTGTTGACGGCCGTCCCGAGGCACATGACGAGCTGCGCGACTTGGCGCGAGACTTGGCGCGTTTGCTGGACGACCGTGACGGCAACCGGGAGCGACGCCATCGACGACGAACTGCCAAACGAAAAGACGTACGCAGGCACAAGCTGCCGAATGTACGTGTAGGGCTGGATCCGCGTCGTGAGGAAGAGCACGAGCGGCATCACAATGAGCACGTGGCTACAGATGCCGCTCGTGAAGGCGAGGACGAGCCAGCCGGCGCGCGAGATGAAGGTCGTCGCGGTCGTCCCGTAGCTGCCAATGGCACCGCCAATGAGCGACACGACTGCGATCGGCGTGAGGCGCAAGACGGCGTTGAGAAACATGAGGAGCGCGTTCCGGACTTGACGCAGCAGCGTGAGCAAGTGGTTGTCGTCGCTGTTGCCCAGATGCGACTTGGCGACGGCGATCCCAAAAGCAAATGCAAAGACAATGATGCTTAGGAGCGTGCCGTCCGAGAGCGCCGCAAAGATGTTGTCGGGCACCATGAGGCTGATGGTCGCAATCACTTGGTCGGTGAGCGACAATTGCGCGTACTGCGAGTTGAGCGAGAGCACCTTGTTGATGTCTTCCACGATAAAGTAGTTGCTGCCGCTGGCTGCACCCGCCGACGCGCACGCGACCGACCCGTTTGGGAATTGATGCAAGCTCTCCTTGTTGGCGCACGTGAGTGTAAAGTTGAGCAAGTGCGACCCGTCTGTGCCCGTCTCAGCGGCGCTCGAGCCGTCGACGAGAAACTTGTAGATGAACGCGACCAGCATGCCCTGAACGGTCGCAAGAAACGACGTAAAAAAGAAGACGGCGGCCGTGCGCCACGAGAGCACGGACGTGCGCTTGAGGACGACGACTTCGGCGACCGAGACGGCCATGGTGCAAAACACCACCGGGACGATGAGGCACTGCAGCGCGCGCACAAAGAGGTCACCCGGTAGCTGCACCCACTGCATGACACCCTCCGGTGTCTTGAGATACGCCAAGAGAATGCCGACACCGACGCCGATCGCACAGCAGACGATGACGGCAATCGAACTCACGAGTGGCGCGTTCGTGCGCTGGTCAAAGCCGCCGGCGCCGCGCGCCATGTGCTTGTTGGGCTCCTCCATGATCGGGTCTTCGTAGA